CCTAGCAACGGCAAGTAGATAGTCACAAGACATCAAATGTAAACGTGGAAGAAGAAGGTGATAGTTGATTATCGGCCAAAGCATGTTTAGAGAGAAACCGTTCCACCGCAGAAACAAAAAGGAGTAACGATACACAAGAGGTGCAATAGAGGGGAGGTTGTTTCAAGTAACCTTTGCCCCATCATCTAGAGTTGTCCCTAAAGACGGCAACCTGTCAACCCCCGCAACAACAAACAAGTACAAGAGGAGGAATGAAAAGGAAAGACGACACAGCTGAGAGAAGCTGACCCCATCCCCTTCGAAAGCCCTTTCACACCAGCAACAGTAACAACAAACAAGACAAGAAAGGTGGAAGTGAAAACCTCAAAGAGCAACCTGTCCACCTCAGAAACAGCAAACAACCACAAGAAGAGGAGTACAAAGCAAAGAGAACAGTTGAGAAGCTGGCCCACCAACAGCAAGTAGATAATGATTTCTTCCTCAAAAACAATAAGGAGATACAACAGACAAGAGGTGCAAAAGAGGGAACGTTGTTTCAAGTAACCTTTTCCCCATCGTCTAGAGCGTGGCTAGGTCAAAGAAGTTTTGCCTCATGGCCCGTAACGACGGCAACCTGTCCACCCCCAGCAACAACAAGCCAGAAATTGAGTACTGATTCTCGGCCGAACCTTGCGTAGAGAGCAAACCCTTCCAGCCCAGTAAGAAAAAGGAGTTACAATATGTTACAATTAAAAACAACAAAAGACGGTAAGTTTTTTTGAAGTAACTTTTGCCCCATCATCTAGGCTACTTGTAAGAAGCGTTGCCTCATACTGTAGTCCCTAAAAGAGCACCCTGTCCACCCCAGAAACAACAAACAACCACAAGAAGAGGACTGCAATGCAAAGGCACCAGTTGAGAAGCTGTCCCAGCAACAGCAAGTAGAGAATCACAAGACATCAAATGTAAACGTGGAAGAAGAAGGTGATAGTTGATTATCGGCCAAAGCATGTTTAGAGAGAAACCGTTCCACCGCAGAAACAAAAAGGAGTAACGATACACAAGAGGTGCAATAGAGGGGAGGTTGTTTCAAGTAACCTTTGCCCCATCATCTAGAGTTGTCCCTAAAGACGGCAACCTGTCAACCCCCGCAACAACAAACAAGTACAAGAGGAGGAATGAAAAGGAAAGACGACACAGCTGAGAGAAGCTGACCCCATCCCCTTCGAAAGCCCTTTCACACCAGCAACAGTAACAACAAACAAGACAAGAAAGGTGGAAGTGAAAACCTCAAAGAGCAACCTGTCCACCTCAGAAACAGCAAACAACCACAAGAAGAGGAGTACAAAGCAAAGAGAACAGTTGAGAAGCTGGCCCACCAACAGCAAGTAGATAATGATTTCTTCCTCAAAAACAATAAGGAGATACAACAGACAAGAGGTGCAAAAGAGGGAACGTTGTTTCAAGTAACCTTTTCCCCATCGTCTAGAGCGTGGCTAGGTCAAAGAAGTTTTGCCTCATGGCCCGTAACGACGGCAACCTGTCCACCCCCAGCAACAACAAGCCAGGACATGAAAAGGAATGCAAAGGAAAGACGGCACAGTTGAGAGAAGCTGGCCCGGTCCCCTTCAAAAGAATTTCCACCCCAGCAACAGCAACTGAAAACAAGACAAGAAACATAAAAGAGAAAAAAGGAAATTGAGTACTGATTCTCGGCCGAACCTTGCGCAGAGAGCAAACCCTTCCAGCCAAGTAATAAAAAGGAGGTGCGCGATACAAAAAGTGCAAAAGAGGGGAAGTTGTTTCAAGTAGCCTTTGCCCCATCATCTAGGCTACTTGTAAGAATCGTTGCCTCATACTGTAGTCCCTAAAAGAGCAAGGCAGGACATGTACGCGAGAAAGGTTGCTTGTCGGCAAAACTTGTTTAGAGGGAAACTTTTCTACCCGGGAAACAAGAAGGAGATAAAAACAAAAAACTCACAATAAGTGAAACAGAGGGAAGGTTGTTTCAAGTAAACTTTGGCTCATCATCTTGTCTACCTACAATGAATATGGTATGCAGGTTTTTGATCGTCAGCATGGCTGAAAAAGCCCGCCGCAGGGACGTGCCCAAATAGACCCTGTTTTTCCATGCCACGGGCGTACACCCGACCCCTTGCAGAGCACCAAGTGCCGCGCCTGCCACGCAAAAGCCACCGGCAGAGTGGCGGAGACCAAGGAACGCCAGGGCGTGAGTGAGTGAGTGAGTGAGTGGAGTGAGTGGAGTGAGTGGAGTGAGTGGAGTGAGCGGAGTGAGCGGAGTGAGCGGAGTGAGCGGAGTGAGCGGAGTGAGCGGAGTGAGCGGAGTGAGTGGAGTGAGTGGAGTGAGTGGAGTGATTGGGTGAGTGGAGTGAGTGGATGTGAGTGGAGTGAGTGGATGAGTGGAGTGAGAGTGAGTGAGTGGTGAGTGATGAGTGAGTGTGTGGTGAGTGAAGTGAGTGGAGTGGAGTGAGTTGAGTGATGAGTGCGTGACGGAAGTGGAGGAGAGTGAGTGAATGAGAGTGAGCGCGAGTGAGGCCGTGAGTGAAGTGAAGTGAGTGAGTGGGTGAGCGAGGGAGCGAGCGAGCGAGTGAGCGTGTGTGCGTGTGTGCGTGTGTGCGTGTGTGCGTGTGTGCGTGTGTGAGTGTGTGAGTGTGTGAGTGTGTGCGTGAGTGAGTGAGTGAGTGAGTGAGTGAGTGAGTGAGTGAGGTTGAGTGAGGTGGAGTGAGGTGGAGTGAGGTGGAGTGAGGTGGAGTGGAGTGGAGTGGAGTGGAGTGGAGTGGAGTGGAGTGGAGTGGAGTGGAGTGGAGTGAGTGAGTGGAGTGGAGTGGAGTGGAGTGGAGTGAGTGGAGTGAGTGGAGTGAGTGGAGTGAGTGGAGTGAGTGGAGTGAGTGGAGTGAGTGGAGTGAGTGGAGTGAGTGGAGTGATGGAGTGAGTGGAGTGAGTGCCGGGAGAAAGTGCCGTGAGTCTCCGGGTCTATTTGCGCGAGTGAGTGGACTGGAGTGTGCGTGCGTGTGCTTGAGTTGTCTGGAGAGAGTGAGAGGGAGGGCGGGAAGGGAGGAGGGAAGGACCAAGGTACGCCAGGGCGTCAACCCTACCCGTTGCCAGAGCAACCAAGTGCCGCCGCTGCCACTCCAAGCCACCGGCAGAGTGCGGAGACCAGGCACGCCAGCGTGATGAGTAGTGGAGGATGGTAGTGAGTGGAGTGAGTGGAGTGAGTGGAGTGAGTGGAGTGAGTGGAGTGAGTGGAGTGAGTGGAGTGAGTGGAGTGAGTGGAGTGAGTGAGTGAGTGAGTGAGTGAGTGAGTGAGTGAGCGAGCGAGTGAGTGAGCGAGCGAGCGAGCGAGTGCGTGCGTGCGTGAGTGAGCGAGTGGGTGAGTGAGCGAGTGAGTGTGAGTGTGAGTGTGAGTGTGAGTGTGAGTGTGAGTGTGAGTGAGAGTGAGAGTGTGTGTGTGTGTGTGAGGTGAGTGAGGAGGAGGACGGGCGAGGAGGAGGAGGAGGCGGATACAGAACTAAAAATTATACGACCGGATAACCCCACATGTTACCAACTTTCTAGACTTAGACTGAGCAAAGAAAAGCAAGAAGGGAAGAGGAATTATAAGAGTGATGGAGGGGTGATGGTGTGTGAGTTTGTGTATGTGTATGCATGTGCATGCGCAGGTGAGTGAGTGAGAGTGCGCGTGAGTGATGTGAGTGTGGTGTGGTGTGGTGTGGTGTGGTGTGGTGTGGTGTGGTGTGGTGTGGTGTGGTGTCGTGTGGTGTGGTGTGGTGTGGTGTGAGTGAGTGAGTGAGTGAGTGAGTGAGTGAGTGAGTGAGTGAGTGAGTGAGAGAGTGAGAGAGTGAGAGAGTGAGAGAGTGAGACAGTGAGACAGTGAGTGAGTGAGTGAGTGAGTTGCTAGTAGTGAGTGAATTGTGAGTGTGAGTGATGTGAGTGAGTGAGTGGAGTAGAGAGTGGAAAGGAAAGGGAGGGAAGGGAGGGAGGGGGGAGGGGGGTTGGGTTGGTGGGGTGGGGTGGGGTGGGGGTGGTGGTTGTGGTGTGGGTTGGGGGTTGGGGTGGAGTGGAGTGGAGTGGAGCGGAGTGGAGCTTGGATGATCTGGGGTTTGCTAGTGACTTAAAGTTTTTAGGAATAGCGGAATAGCCTTCTAGTAGCTACCTAAATACCTTTTAAGAACATCCTAAGCATATGCTAACCACTTGTAAGGCTTCTACTTGTGTCAGGAAGTTAACAAGTGTCTAGCTAAAAATTAGCTAAAGTTTCTAAACAACATAATTATGTTAAGTGGTGAGCCATCAGACATGCTAATTATGTTAAGGGAAGATAGATACTTAGCCTCAAAGTTAGCATAGTTAGCTAAGTATTTAGCTAAGTGGTTAGCTAAGTTAGGAAGTTAAAATTTAGAATAAATTTTCATGTTTTTGGCCCAAAAAACAAATAATTGAAAAAAAACATTTCCATAAAAAAAAATGCACAAAGTCTTGAAGAAAGCCAGAAGATTCACATTCTTTCAGTGAACCCCGTGAGAACACAAGAGAAAGCAGGGGAAAAAAAACATGGAAAACATGTCAGCCATATATAAGCTCAATGACACAAACAAAGCTCTATACAAGCTCAGAATCTTTAGCCCAAGCAGGCTCTCCTAAAGTTTCAGCTGTTGTTAAGCTCTTTTTCTGTGGACATTGTGCCACAACTTTGCTCTTGGTTTTCAAGGGAACCAAGGCAGGAAAACTTGCTGCTGTTTCTCTCAAGAAAATGTGTTCCCAAGGAACTGCTGCACATGGGTTGAACATTTGGTTAAATTACATGAAATAACCTTAAAGACTTAGCTCCTGCCCTCAAAGGGCACAAGGACACAAATAAAGAAGTAACATGGACACAAGTAAACAGGACAAGATGTAGACAAGACAACAGAAATACACAAGACAGCACAATAAGCAAAGAAGCACCTCATGCCAACACAAGAAAACAGACAGTGACTTTCTGTGACACTGGCTCGAAAGCCATGGCTGGTGCTACATGGAAGGGTGAAGTGGTAAGGGTTCAGCAAGACAGCAGTCTACCCATTACCAGCAGATGCAACCGCATTCTGGAGATCCTGAAGCAGAATGGCCTATGCTACAGACAATGCATTGAGCCAAAGATGATTCTGGTGCATGTGAAGAACAGAGGTGGGCAACTAGTGTCTGTGGCTGATGTGCACAGCAAAGGTGCTGTGATGGCTCAGATTGGTTTCTCCATGGCCAAAATTGGAGAATCAATTTGTTTTGAATTGCCATCTGCTATGGCAAACAAAGACCAAGTGATAGAGACCAACAGGTCTTTGGCCCAGCTGTCCCAGAACCAGCTGTGTGAGCCACTTGGTTGTGAAAGGTTTGCCTCAGTGTCCAGCAGCCACTTGGTGACTTTCCTGAGGGCAGTGCAGGCTGGCTGCAAGACTACAGAGCCTGAGATCAGCACTGGTGGCTACCTGTCACTGGACTCAATGTGCCAGAAGAAGGATGACTTGAAGGAGATGGTCATTACTGGATGGGAATGGCAGGTGATTGATAGCCAGGTTGAGTCTGCTTGCCCTGAACTTCCACAATTCCTGGCCCAAGCACTGAACTCTGACCATGCTGTTAAAACAACAGCCAATGAGTTGGAAACTGCTTGCAACATTGCAAGCATCTATCTCCAAGGACCTCAAGAAGGCCCAGGAAGCAGCTATGGCTTCTAGACCAGCCTGTGCCAATTACATTGCTGCCATCACTGCCTTTGTGAAGCAGTTCGCTGGTGGTGATGCGTTTCCTTTGCTGAAGCTACTCCAGTCCATTGGTCTCTCAGCTGCAGCTAGACTGTTAGCCAGCCATAGCAAGCTCCTCCAAAGCAGCCATCAGAGGCTCCTTACCCAATTAGTTGGTTTGTTCCTTGAACTTGTTGCTTTACCAAAGCCATTTGCCCATACTGATGCAAACAATATGGTGGTTCTACAGTTTGGGGCCAGGAATTTACTGAATTGCTGGCCTACACTGACTTCAAGTGCCCAGCTACCACCTACCCTTGGATTCGGTTGGCAATGGCAGCCTGCCACATGTGTGCTCCCAAGCAATACATTAGAGATGGCATCTCCAGGCTGCTGACCTCTGCAGATTTTTCCAAGCTGAAGCAGAAAGGAGTGGCTGTGCAATTGGCAGCTGCTGAGAAGCTTCTGAATGAAGCTTGGGCTTTGTGTGGTCAAAGTTCACTTACCTTGGACCAGCAAGCTCAGCCCATGGGCCGATACTTGACCAGGTTGGCTTTGTTCCTGGTTGGCAAAGGTTCTAAAGGCCCTGAAGGAAAGAATTACAAGCAGTTTGAAGACATCACAGATCTCTTCACTCAAGAGCTGATGAACATGAAGGCACATGGCTCCATGGACTTGGCAGAGCAGTTGCCATCCAGCAGTGCCAGTGTAGACAAAGCAGTGCAGCCAACTGCTTTGGAGGCAAGGTGTTTGATCAAATTTGCTTTTTACTGGTGTATATAGCAACCCTGTCACCATTTGGCCCTGCAGGCTAATTCAGACCCTGCCCTCATTGCATTGGCGCACTTCAAGAATTTGGAAGTGGGAAAACACTACACCTTTGCCAAAGATCCTCTGAAGGTGTACAAATTCGAAAGCATTGGTGCCACCACAGCTGTGCTTCTACACAAACCATTTTTTGGTGCCCTTGAGAAATTAGAAGTGGAACACAAGGACTTGAAAGGCTTGAGGGCTTGGGAAAAGTCAGTTCCCAGTTTGCAGCCAGCTGCCACCCTGACTGCCTTGCAGCCCAGTGCTTGCTTGATGGCTGAGTTTGGAAGGGCCAAAGCCCAACATTGGCTCTACCAGAAGTACCATGAGCACCTTGGAATGATATTGGTAAAATTTTACCTGCTGTGGTGAGCCCTTTTTGTGTGTGGAGACTGATAACTTCTGACACTTCTTGCAGAGCCAGGCTGGGTGACTTCAATGTTGTGGTGTCCACTACTTCCCAGCTCTTTGCCAACTCCAAGTTCAACAAAAACGACTTGGTGTTGCTTCCACTTGGCCAAGTGGTTTTACAGAAAAAGGAAAAGATCAACAAGAGTTCTGTTGTGCTTCAGATGGCTGGCTGGAAATTTGAAGAAGTTTTGGTGGTGACACATACCAAGTGCAACTTTGAGAAGAAGAGTGGCCACTGGTGTCCATTCTATTGGTGCAAAGAGGCCAAAGATGACAAGGACAAAGATGATGCTACCTGTGAGAAAGCCACCTTGACCAGAGCGACTGTGAAGCACCATGAGCTGACCATTCCTTGCCTGAAGAACAAGGTGGCCCTGCAGATTGGATCCCCATTGCTGGTTGAGTTTCAAGAGGAAAGCAAGAAGAAGAAGAAGAAGAAATCCAGAGACTGAGGCATTGAAAGCTGTCTTCCCAAGAAAGTGCTTGCTGCCTAAAACAAGCTGTAGGAAGCTTCAGCACCTAAGACTTTACAGAAAGCTCTTGCATTGTTAGCTATCAAAGGCTTTTTTTAATCACAAGCTATAGAAAGCTTTTATGTGAAAAGCTTCTGCCTTCAAAGCTATACAAAGCTCAAGCCAAAGGTGTTGTCAAAAGAAATGCTTCAGAGGTTTCATGCCTCTTGTTTGGCAGGCATTATTCCTCAAGTGTAGCAGAGTGCTAGCTTAGCCAGCCATGGTGGACATCTCAGAGAAAGTGGTCCTCTCCTACAAAGGTGTTAATAAGGCTGTGGTGCCAGACAACCTGGTGTCTGTTGGCCCTGATGGAAGGAAGTTTCTGAAGATACAGGGCAGCCATCCCCTGGTGTGCAGATTGGTGGCAGCAGACAACCTGGAAGCTTTGAAGACATGCAAGAACCCTAGCCTTTGCCAGGGAGATGCTTTTGATTCTTTGAGGAAGAAGCAAGAAGAGGCTTTGCACAAAGCCTTGTCTGAGGCAAAGGAGGAGGAAGATAAGGAGAAGGACTTGTTCAAGGTTGAGAAGCATCCCAAAAAGAAGCTCAAGCTTTCCAGTGGTCCTGATTTTTTGACCTTGAACTTAGATGGCAATGACATTGAGGTCCTCAAGCCCAGAACTTGGAAGGACAAAGATGTTTCTGTTCTGCTGGACTCCAGCATGCTGGCTGTCACTTTTGATTTCTTGGCCACAGATGTGGACACCTGCTTCAAAGATGGCAACAAGAGAAGTTACAGAAAGAAAGGTGGCAAGAACGATGAAGATGAACTTCACAACAAGTAAGCACTTCCTTGTCCTGATGCAGAGAGGAAAAACGTATCTTGTTGCTCTTTGCTCAATGCTTGAGCTTCAGAAGCCCTAACATAGGCTGAAATTTACTAGCCCTCTGAAAGCTTAGTTGCTCTAGCCCTGTTGCAGGCTCATTCCAATTAGCCATTTAGAGGCTCAAAATAAGTAGCCTTGAGTAAGCTCATTGCATGGCTAGCCCTTGGAAGGCTCATATAATACTTAGCCCCAAGGCCCATGGACCAATTAGCTTTGATCAGGCTCATTGCATGTACTAGCCCTTGGCAGGCTCACTCTTAAATAATAGCTGTTTGAAAGCTATTTTTTTTGATTAGCCCATAGCAGGCTCAGTTTTTTAAAGAATTCCAGTGTTTTTTTTTTTACTTGCCCTCCAGGGGATCAGCTCATTCATATGGGCCCATGGCTGTGTTTGGTTCAAGCTCAAAGTGCTGAGTAAAGACACTACTGGTGTGACAATGGGCACCACAGAGGATGAGTTTGACTATGCCTCTTGGGCCAATGAGTTGACAGAAGCTCATGAGGCTCAAGAGGCTGAGAATGAGTGGTACCAGAAGAAGCTGGAGGACCCATTTTGGCCAAAGTGTTTTAAAACCATGAGAGAGATGGGGTTGATCACTACCCTGTGGCAGGATGAGAGTGCTGCGACTGCATCGCGCCTCCACTTCATCATTTTTTTAACTGACCCTAAAAATATGTGGGATTTGTTTTTGATACATTCTTCCATGGCGAGCCATCCTTAGGAAGCACCAGATGATGTGCCAACTTTGGCTGCTCCAGTGGTACCTGTGGTTGAAGGTGTGCCCACTGGGCCTGTGACGACTGTGGGTGGACAGCAGTATGAGGAGGTGCACTTGGAGAAGGCTGACTTTAAGGTGCTAGAGTCCAAGCCTAAAGCCAAACTACCACAACCATCTGCTGGACTTAAGGGTGCTATGAGGCCTCCTGAGCCTAAAAATCCTCCCTCCAAGAGGCAGAAGGTGGAGACTGACACGAAGCAGCTCTTCTTGAGGCATGGAGCGGTGAAGCCCAAGGTGGAGGAGGAAGAGGATGTGCCACTGAGCAGTGACCAGATTGCCAACAGAATCTTTGCTGCTCTTGTTCCTTGGCTGTGCTTTTTTTTTGGGCGGGGTGTTGATACAACAAGGAAACTTGAATCATGTGTTCCCTTGGACTTTCTGAGGCTGAGCATCAGAAGGGTGGAGATGGGCATCCTAAACATGGTGGTTCTCTGGCTGCTGCAGTGGCTGCCAGTGCTGCACCAGCTCCTGCAGATGTTGGACCTGCACATGCACCAGCTTCTTGGCTTTTTACTTCAACTTTGACTAGTCTGTCTGGATAGAGGCTTTTTTTTAAAGCAATGCAGTTGGAGGCTCCATGGCATGGAGTACGAGTACCTGCTCCAGCTGGACATGCTGGATATGGAGTCCCTCAAGGACATGCTGGACAAGGAGTACCTGCAAACCTGACTGCGCAAACCGGAATTGTGCACAATCAGGATGGCTTCCAGTGGCAAGATGTGCGTGGACAGTGGCACACCTATCGCTATGCACCTTGATTCCACTTCATTGATTTTTTGGTGGTGTTTTTGAAGTGTTTTTTTTGCTCTGATTCCAGCATGTGAGGCTGAGAAGCGCAAGACTGGGTTCCAAAACAAGTTGGTTACCCTTGTTGCTCTCTATGCTTCAGGGGAGTTACGCCGGTGTGAGCAAGAGATGGTGAGATTGCAGCAGTTCTACCCCATCCAAGACCAGCTGTTCCAACTTTTGAGTCTCCACCAATTGGTGGGCTTGACAGCGTTTCACCTGTTAGGATATTTGCCTTGGCCCAAGCAGTCCTGATGACAGTGAAGAGGTGGGAAAAAATAAATGGCTCTCAGCCCTTGAAGGCTCAAAGGTTTTAGCTTCAACATGCTCACAAGTCCTAGCCCTTGGAGGCTCACATAGATTAGCCCTTGAAGGCTCATATATTAGTAGCTTTTGAAGGCTCACATACTATTAGCCCTTGAAGGCTCACACTAGTAGCCTTAAAAGGGCTCATATTGAATCAGCTATGGAAGGCTCCCTGCTATTAGCTTTAGAAGGCTCACATATGCTACCCTTTGAATGTTTACAATATATATGTTTTCAAAAGTTTAAACACTAGAAATTTAAAAATAAATATTCATTAACAATTTTTTTACTAATATTGATTAAATCAAAAAACAATCCAATAACTAAATTGAAAATTATAGTCTTCAGAAATTTCAATCTAGTGGCTAGATTGAAAATTTAGTTGTGAGTAATTTCAATCTAGTGGCTAGATTGAAAAACTAGTTGTGAGTAATTTCAATCTAGTGGCTAGATTGAAAATTTAGTTGTAAGTAATTTCAACCTAGTGGCTAGATTGAAAATCTAGTTTTGAGTAATTTCAACCTAGGTGCTAGATGAAAAATTTTAATCTTTAGATGTTGCAATACAAATATGTTTTAAACAAAACTTTCAAAAATGATTTAAAGTTAAGAATAATTTATGAATTACCTTAATTATTTTCAATAATTGTTAATGATTTGTTTAATTAAATAATTTATAGAAAGTTTATGAATAAGAAAAATCACCAATACAAATTATTAATTTCAAATCCTAATTTTACTTTATTGATTCTAAATGTTGTTTAACAACTATATCCAATTTAAATAACAATAAATTGCATATTCTAGATGCTCATTGTTCTTTAAGTAAAATGTAAACTACACATATATTATATCTAAAGATTTTTGATATTTTCCAACTGGGAAAATATTGTATGTTCTGGCAGCTGTTGTTGGGATCAAGTTGCTGAGTGCTTCATTGCCTGGAAGCCATGTGGAGTTCTGCTGCAAATGATTACATCATTGATGTGCACACTGAGAATGGATGGACCTGTGTGCTGTGGGATTCTGGCTGGAAGACTTGGCTTCTTGATCGCATTCTGTTGGGGGTGGACCAAGTTGCCCTGCTGATAATTTTCTGTCATAGCATCTCAGGATGAACTTCCTTGAGCACGACTTTCGTGTCCTGAAGTCTGAGTGGGTTGAGAGAGGAGGAGTGTGGTACCGTGTTGCCACATACAGATGTGGCTGGCAATTCTGGTTCCTTGGCCCAAAAAAGTTTGGCTTGTGGATTGTCTTTAGTTGTGAGCTGCTAGACTTCTAGTTTACTCTGCTGTCTCTCCATTAGCCAAGGTTGAGAAAGAGAAAGCTGGAGCAGCTACTGTGGGAACGCATTGGCCCAATAGCTTGGATAATGTTCAAGCCATTCTGAGTGTATAGACAAGACACCCAACTGGCTGCAGAACAACAAAAACAAAAAAAAACATTTACACCAGCTATTCAAGGCTCTGGTAGCTGTTTAAAGCTTGGGTAGCCATCTCAGGCTCAATAAGTCATTTGTGATGCTGTAAAATGCATCAGACCAGATTAGCCATCACAGGCTCAAATAACTTTAAGCCTTTTTGTTGGTCATCTCAGGCCAGAACAGCCATAAGGCACACTAAATGGCTAAAGTTTAGCAGTCCATCAAAGGAAGTTAGGATTACCAGGGAAACTCAGAGACCAATGGTTTTGCCTTTTTAATGACATTGCCAGGTGTCTTGGTACAAAACTGGTTGGCACACTGCACATTAGCATTGTTTAGCTTTGCCCATTAATTTAATATGGTTCACCCATTGAGGGCTGCACATACATTTCAAGTTCAGCATTTAATGCAGAATTTATGGGTGCTTGATATGTACATAGTTTCATGCCTGTACCTTAAACTTGTGCCATGAACATTGCCACTGAAAAAAAATGTTTGTTGCTGCTTTTCATTCTAGCCAACTGAGGCTCATTTACATGGCTATGAAAGGCCCATTTTGTTAGCTAACAGAAGCTTCCAGTCCTGATTGCCTGAGCACACCACAGGCTGTCTGTGGCATTGTCTTTTGTGTGTGCCCATACTGATGACCAAAGAGAAATCATCTTATTGTTGCAGCTGCCACTCTCACCGGCTTCTGTGCCCGCCTACTTGTGTTTCACTCCTGTCAGCAATGCCTGGCCAATGGCAGCTTGAAGACTTGAAGTCTGAGGTCACCTCAATGGTGCAACTTCTTGGAAGAAGAGGGGAGCATTGTAGTAACA